GAACTCCTCCAATGTGTAAAGACACTGAAAAATTATGAACCAAAGCAATACTGTCTATTTACCAGGACATTTTATTCTCTTATTCCTAATGAGATATAGGAATTATTAACAATACTGTGTTTTTATGAAGGCTTTCATATTCATGGCTTTTTCCTGTCCTCTGAAAACAAATTCATCTCTCAAAATGCACTGAAGTAATTGAAAAGGTTTGGTGTGTTCTTGCATTGAGTCACAAAACAGCGCTGCAACTGTGTCAGAGAGACACAGAATGATTGCTACCTTGTTTATCGTGGCCTCATCAGCTCCTTGAATGCTCAGCCAGTTTATGAGGTCAGGGTGTTCAGTCCCTGTGCCAGTGGAATGACGATGACAGACAGACAATCCAGGAATATCTAGAACAAGCATTTTTGAGAAAAGGTTTTGTGTTGCCAAAGCAACCTCTTGTAATTTTTGACTGCTGAAGCACTTCCTTCAGTGAGCTTTCCCTTCAAGCTTAGAATACCAGTATCCTCATAAATAAAGATAACTGTCAATTCCCAAAGCGCACACTTAATTACAGTTTACAGACAGTTATACACCCATCACTGTACTTGGTTAGGGGTACACAGTTAAAGCACTGTGAACATTGTTAGAGAGACGTTTTCTGCCGTCTTCAGAACATAACTTTACTAGTACAAGGCACATCAATTTCACTGTAACTGTTTCTACACTAAGGCTGTTGCATCAATTTAACTAAACCGTTCAGTGCAACTCATACAATTGGTGCGTAGGCAACGCCTTAGATTGAGGATCATCTGCTTTTGGAAAGCAACGCTTCTCTGAAGCACACTACACCAAAACATCAAACTGCATTAGCACTTCCACCTTCTTCAGGGCAGACACATATCAAACTCAGCTTCCCTCAGTAAGCTTTAAGGCGTATTCACATCTCACCGACTAAATCCTCTTGAACTTTCAGTGTAACGGTTGGAACAGTCTGTAATTCAAAGAACTCATACCTAAACATTATCATTTCCCTCTTTGGAAATAATATTTATTCTGTAGGATATGAGCCTTGTACTCTTCCATATAATCACAATCAAATATTTAAATCATATCATTCCTTGTACTGTGATTAACAAATTCAGTAATTTGTTTCCACAATATCCATTCTTACTTCAAAGCAAACCCTACCAGAAGCCGCATAATAAAGCATCTTTGCTGACACTAGCTCAATAAAAAGAACAGAAGTTTAGCTGCCACTGTCTTCATCTGTAGCCAGTATGAAACTTTTCTTTGAAAAGTCTTCTCACTTACCTATTGGCTGTGACCTAAGCCGTAGGTTTCTGATCTCTTGATCTTTTTCTTCTATAGCTTGATGTAAGAGGACTTGAAATTCTCTCTCCTTTTGAACCAACTCCTCCAATAACCTGTGAAGTAATGGGAAGGAAGCGCACATTTCCTTAAGTAGTTTCAAATTTTCAGGAAAGCAAAGATCTTAATACACTTAAACTAGAAACTTTCTTGACAGAGACAGGGACAGACTTCTTCAGCTTTCATAGGCATATCCTCTTGCTAAGATTTATTATGACCTATATCAAGACATAAACATTTACTGGTTCCTAAAGCTATAGCTCTTAAAAAAACCCAAACACACCAGCAACACAAAACCAAACACACCAGCCTCCATATACACATCCACCCACTAAACAGGTGGTATGGTACAAAATTTCAGTGACATTTCTACAGCCAGCATTCTGTTTTAAACAAAACTGTGTCATTGAGAAGAACAAACATCAAAGTGTTTCATAAACCAAGGGCTAAACTTCATGACATGATCCTTTAAGGAAAAATGCCAGTTCACATCTCCAGCAGACATTTTCAAAGGTATGGCAAGGGTGGACCTGCAATGAAAATGCGGTGAAAACTTATGGTTGCATTTCTTAAATGGGGAAGATACGTTCTCATCCACAAAGGGGCTGACCCTCACATACTAGGCACTTTGTGCCTACCATCCTATGTTATATGAAGAGGGAGAAAACACCTTCTGTCCTCTCCTAAGCAATTACTTTTGAGAATGTCAAGCAAAAACAAATTGGAACCCTTGTTTGACTACCTCCATAACACAAACACACAGAGAAACCCAGAGAGATTCAGTGGTCAGCACCTTTCAAACTGATCAAAGGAAAATAATCAGAATACAATGGAAAATTAGTATGTGGAACTGCTGCAGTTTGATATTTTAGAAAAGCATTTTAGTAAAAAGGAGGACTTATGAACAATATGTATTCAGGAACTTGGTCAGAGAAATTGGACATGGAGAACAAACTCATAAATCTATCACTGACTTCCAAGTCTTAGGAAGTTCTGCCTTGAAAGAATTGTAGCACCTTTGTCCCTTCCTTGAAGCCTTTGTCAGCCTGAGAACTATGCAGTAACTGTTCCATTTTAGTACAGGGTTTTTTACTTTATTTATACCAGTTGAGAACTGCAACTTTTTTTTCTGGGACACTGAAAGAAAGGGACATTCTGGCATTCAGCTAGAGAATGTGCCACAAAAGCACCTTGCCTGTCTTTACCCAGAAGTAAACTGCATCTCATATGACCGATTTGTAAAACATCTAGCCGTACTTTTAGCTTGCATGCAGGCTTACCAGCAGCATAGTTGCATTTGAGTCCTTCCACACCTGAGCGACAAATTCTTAACAAGTCCACCCTGCACGTGAACAGAGCTGCTTTGTGCCTCTACACACACCCACACCTTGGCTAATCTCAGTGCAGATTGATATTCTGTCCAGACAGGTGGGCAGTCACCTTTCAGTTAATTTATTCCTTCTCTATCCATTCTGGTTGAAAAAGGCCTTCAGGGCCAATAAAATAATCAACTATTTTCTCTTGATAACTGCTTGCTGCTTATGCCAATAAAGCTTTAATTAATACTTAAACAACTGTCCCTATTATTTACCTCAAAATTTCTGCATGAATGACAGGATGTGATTATTTGGCCAAAGGCTTTACTTTTGAGAAATTTACAAAAGCAAAATGGTAGAAAACAGTACCCATACAAGTTGATCACTTCTGATGCTACTCCCCATCATCAACTCTGGAAGTAAAATGAGCCAATCTAAATTCTTTATGTATTTATTTATTTAAAGTGTATCAATATGGAGATCAAAATATTTCTCAGTGGTCATCACAAGGAAAAGAATTAATTGTAACATAAAACCTCAAAAATACTGATACTTTATTGTTTATAATAAACAATAGAGTCTAACAAATTACGCTATAGCAAAATTCTTGGACACATTTAAAAGTAAAGTGCAATTTAACATTTTAATTTAAATTGGAACAATAACTGCAAAGAATGTTCTAGCAGCATAACAACTGTCTTACTGAAGACATGTTCTCTTTCTATGAATGTCATTAAAAACTTACGTCTGTAGGAAATCCAGTGTCATAAATCAGATGCTGCAAAAACTAAAATATCTACTTTAAACAGACTATCTGGTATATTTTAATGAAAAGAAAGCAAAATTATATAGAAAATTATTTGGATAAAATAATGGAGACAGATTTGTTTCTGACATTTCTTAAACAAACTAAAACCCCAGAAGAACCACTGCTCAGGTTTAAAGTGGACTGAATATGTATATTTCTGAAAAAATCCAACATCCAAATTTCTGGCTTATTTCTTCTTTTAAAGAACACACCTATTTTTCCTATCTTTCTCTGATGAACAGAATTTAATAAAAAGGTAATGCTTGTCGGTAAGCACAGATCCTGCTGCAGTGAATTCTGTGCACAAAACAAGTCTGAAGCAGTTTCCTTGTAGAGCTCATGTGTGGCTGTCGACTAGCTTGAATTCATCCCCCAAGAATAACTATAGAAAAGAACAGCAAGTTCTGCCTTAATGGAAATAAAACATAACACCATTCATCAGCCATACACAGCATACGAAGGAGAGAAAAAGCAGAAGCTTGGCAGCAAGCTCAATTTTTTCAGACCTTCCTTGAAAGGACACCCGAAATCAAGACTGACCTTAACTTGCATCACTATTGTTCTGAAATGAATAAAACTAATATAAGTGATCAGTCACAGCTAAACAATGACTATCATTTAAATGAACAACTTGCAGTACTACGGAATTTTGATACTGTCACTAGTATTCTAGCACATATATTTTAAAAGTGAAACAATACATACTGTCACAAGTAAGCTAGTGTCCCCTGATGTCCATACTTACCTGTTTGTCTCTAATTTTAGCCTGCCCAGCTGGACGCTCAGTGATCTGTGAGCAGCCTGGGAGTCATGGGATACCGTAGAGCTGAGTGTGCTTACACCTGAGGTAGCTACTGCATCTTCCATGACAATGCAAGGCTGTTGGATAGTTTGATTCTGAGGCTGTTCATCTTGATCTTCAACTTCTATATCATCTTGATCTGCTGTATCACTTTCAGATGCAAGACTAAAATGTGGCCTCAATTCTATTAGTAACATTAAAATACAAGCAAAAGAAAAAATATTAAAGATCTTCAACATTAAAACAGAAGCAGACCTAAGTGACTATTTACAGATCATCCTACAGCTTTGGCAGGAAATTTTGAAATTTCTGTGCAAAAGAACAGATGATATTTTCTAGACGTTTAAGACCACTCATACCATAACAGCATCTTAGGTCATCGAATTCAACTCATCGAATGTTCAAAAGCTCTTAAAAAAAATAAATCTGGATGAATAGGATTCCAGATTTGGCTAGCATTTCATGCCAAACTGTGCCGAAGCACTGTGTGCAGCAGAAGTGCTTTCTTTTGCTTTATTCCATTCTCAGTGGTTTGTAATTCCTTATGTGTCTGACCTGAAATGTTTTATTAAACAAACAACCATTATTTCTCTTATATCCAGCTATTCCTGTTGTTGTTATCCTGGCATATTTAGCATTCTCTCATTATAAGAATACTGCGTATACCAAAAAATTTTATCCAGAGACATAGAGAGGAAATAACAAATAGACCCCCTTCCTGACAATTAAAAGTAGCACACTTCCCCCTTCTACATATCAGGGAGAACACTGTCTATTTGGTAATGATATACATCCATAAAACTGTGGACACAAAGCTATATGTGTACTTTAGTTTCTGTTATTCCATGTTTAAATTACCTACCAGAGCTTTCCAGGTATGCAGGATATGTACACAAGATCTTATACTCCTATAAAACTCACTATCGCAACATCTGTTTGTTAATTCTAACCATTTAATATAAATCTTCCTTCCTTCCTTCCTTCAATTGTGGCTTCTTACTGCTGAGCACTCCTTTTAGTCTCCTCAGCAAAAAATACTTTTATTCTGAATCACACTTGGGTTTTGTCCTTTCTGCTGAAGAACTAACAAGTACATTTCTCATCTTTACAAAAGGGACATTTGTTCCTTGATCCATTTTGTCTCTTCATTTCAATCCGACATACCTTTTTCAAGGCTGAACATACTAAGATCAACAGAGCTGTGCTTCCTCTAAATTAAAGAAAGCAGATTTATTATATAGCAGTTACCCAAATATTGCTAGGCAAATATGTCTGAATTTTCTTTGAATTTTTTATTTATTTAGACAGCTTCTGACCAGGAGCCAAAGAGACTTCTGAGTGCTCCAAAAAGCACATAATTAATCTGCACTTTGTAAAACATCTTCCAAAATCGGCATGTGCTGGCAAGTGGTCTGTCCTTTGGATTTCAAGAGGCAGCATTGTGCACCTCAAAAAATTAGGCCCCAGAGCACTTTAGCCTACTACTGCTCAGCATTGTAGAATCGTTTTGATTACGCATCTTGGAAAGCTGCTTTCCAAAATAACTTGGACAATACACTGATTAGTTTTTGAGTTGCAAAACAGGAAAAAGGCCACTGCTCATTTCAAAATCTTGAAGCGAAGCGTCATAATCACAGCTCTAAAGCATGTTTAAAGAGACAGCTAATAAATATTTGCTGAGTATTAAGTAACAACTCACCTGGGACCAGAATAGTAATAGCTGTCTGCACAGCTTTTCTGATTATGCTGTCCAATGCAAACATCCAATGTGGCTTGATGTTATGATTTCGGAGAACTTTATTGACCTAGCAACAGAGAATTCAGTTCAGATATTATATCCCCCTACAACTTAAAACCATAACATATGTCAGCATTATATAAAGTGTTTGAAATTATAGATGCTGTATCAAAGCAGGTGATTGAAACTATTTTATGTGTCATTAAATGAAGAAAGGAGCAACATTGCCAACTTCCACCATTTTATTACAAGTCATCCAATATTTTGTATTTTTTATCAAGTACTAGTTCCTGTGTTAGGCGATTTTTGATCGCTGCGATACTGAAGTTTATTTAACCTTCATGGGTGTGGAGAGAAACTTAAAAAAATGCAAGCAAGACAAATACCAAGGACCACATTATGAAAGGCTTGTAACTGAAGCTAATTAATCTTGTTATTTTTTTGGCATTGTTTTCACTGCTTGTTCTGAGCAATACTTACCTAAAGTACAATTGTAGGAAATATCAAAGAACTAATGTAATGCTGCTCCTTCTTGATTCAGAAAATAGTTAAAGTTAGTTTAAATAGTCAGGGGACTTCATTTGTATGCTGTGGTATTTTCTCTTTCCTTCTGCTTTTCATTTCATACAATCAGATAGTTTTTTACACTGGGTTGCTCCTAATTCCCTACAGGCCTGCTTTCAAACCGCTTTTAGCCATATTGCCAGGTGCCCGTATGGACGCTCCATGCCACTCACAAGAATGTCTCTACCTTGGGGGAATTGTTATCCAACACCCAAATGACAGGGAAAAAGCAGGTGGGGTGACAATGCTACAACAAAATGCCTAGCCACGGTAAGCAGCAACAGCACAAAACAGCCTTGGCGCTGTTTTCCAGGCGTGGAAGCAGCCCAAATCAACAGATTCTATAGGAGCAGAACTCAAGAAGTTGCAGGAAAAAACAAATACAACTGTATTTAGAAAATTATGAAGTTATTCAAAGCCTTATTAATAAAAGTAGCAACTATTGCTTACTAAAAAATGTGGCAAGAAGATACTTCACTCTTAGGCCTTCCTAAAAAAGGGATTAATTTAATTCTTTCACATTGGGGTAACCTCTCCATAAAAAAATGACTGAAGTTACACAAATGATGCCTTCAGACGATGTGTAAAAGTTAATAAATATTATTTATCATATTATTTTCACTGCCCCAAAGCAACAGTATTCAGTAATGCAGTAATTTATGTTAGGTACCTGTACTGGGTTTGGCTGGGATGGAGTTAATTTTCTTCACAGCAGCCCATGTGGTGCCGTGTTTCAGACTGGTGACTAAAACAGCCTTGATAACACACCCATGTTTTAGTTATTGCTGAGCAGAGCCTACACAGCGTCAAGGCCGCCTCTGTTTCTTACGCTGTCCCACCAGCAAGTAGGCTGGGGCAGGACTAAAGGCGGGAAGGGGACACGTCCAGCACAGCTAACTCAAACTGACCTAAGAAATACTCCCTTCCCTAGAATATCCTGCTCGGCAATAAAACTAGGGGGGTAGTTTTTCCAAAGGAGCCCTTGCTCAGGGACTGGCTAGCATTAGTGTATTAGTGGTGAGCGATTGCTTTTGCAACATCGGTGAGTTTGGGTTGGGTCGTCCCCGTCCCCCTCACTTCAGTTATTAAACAGCCTTTATCTTGACCCACAAGTTTTCTCACTTTTTGCCCTTCCGATTCTCTCCCCCATCCCTCTGGGAGGGAATGAACAAGCGACTGGGAAGCGGCTTTCCTGTACCTGCCCTCCAGGCTCAACCCCCCACGGTACCTGTGTCTCCTCAGTGCTGCTGGCAACGGCCACGAGGTGGCACCTGGGCACCG